GGAGGAGTGAAATAAAATGTATTATATTTAAAAAAAAAACAATGACAATCAGTATGAAAACTACAATAATTATATTAAATTAAGCATAGTTTTTCACACAATAATTATATTAAATTAAGCATAGAAATAAGAACATTTAATTTCTGCCAGGCATTTTAGTTATTTTATGCATAATTAGCAATTTACCTGGGGTGGTGAATGGTCATTTTCTTGTAAAATATTATACCTGGACAAATTTTTCCTTCCATTAACCACCCCTAAAAGCAACCCTTCTCAACACTATAAGCACTTCAGAAAGGCTGTCGCTTTTCATTTGCGGAAGTTGGAGCTATGTCGGCACTGCCGTTTCAGGGCGGAGTCATTTTCAGGACTTTCACCAATCGCCATGGATATTTTACCCCAAAACAGTATAGCCATTTTCATTCGCAATGACATATCTTAAAATGAACTTGGAAAATATATTCGAATGTTTCAAACTCTTGAAATTTAAAAAATAAATAAACACATTTTAGAGAGAATCTAAAATTAAATCAGGAAACTTCTCACTTTCGACAAAAATATACATGTGTATGAAATGATTTTAAAATGTTCATTTCTCTTCACAACGGCTTTTCGTTCGTGGCATATCATGTAAGCTGGTGACAGGTGACAAAGGCTACAATTACGAATTAAGTCAATATAGTCTAAGGCGAGACTTTTTTTACTTATTAGTTTACGGATTTGACTTTCAAAAAAACAGGTCGGTAGGTCGGAAAAATTAAAAAAAAAACACAATGAGTATATTTAAAATCAATGTTTTTATCTTCTAAACATTTAATAACTTCTACTTGAAGAAACGTAGCTAATCTCCATATTGTTACAACAATAACATGAGCCAACAGTACTTAGAGTCAAAGTTTACTAAAATTAACTAAAATCGTAGAATAGCTGTTATCGTAATTGAATACCTATGCTACGGACCAGCGGGTATGTGCATTATTTTAACATCGAGACGAGGCTATAGGGTCATGTTTTGTGTTTTTTGACCCTTTAGCCTCGTTTCCGTTCGCATGTATACCTACAAAATGCTTGTCACTAAGGGACGGACCATTATTTTTTTGCGGGGGGGGGATGGAAGATTCTTTAAAAAATGTTTGCAAAGACAAAAAAGTGCAAATAAATTGTTTGCACACATAGAGAAGAGGAAAAACATAGTTTGCAAGCTAATGAGATTATGCAACATCAACCAAGGTTTAATACGCATGCAAACAGACATTTAATAGTTTTTCAAGTATATTTATAAACAAAAACATTTAATATACTTTTTTAATACGTTTAACAATTTCAAATTGACTGTATTCAATAGATTAATATTTATAACCCATATGTAGATTGCGACATGTGCCCAGCGTCTCCCACTCCCAGGACTTTTGGGGTAAAGACCCTGGGTATGTCTGTTCATTGTTATTAAATTTATACTTCTAACACCACATGTTGTTCACACATGCGATAGCGCATGTAATCTGGCACAAATTAAACTACAATCTTGGCCATAAACCGTAGGACAATGATAAATTTTGTGCATTTTTAGGTCTCCTCATCCACCCCCCCCCCCCCCAATGTTTCCGTTGTACAGACAAAACTGTATGTGTACTAGAAATGTGGGAAAGCAATATTAAATGGGGGCAGCGGGGAGATGCGCAATATGATTTTAAAACCCAAGTATATTAAAAAGTTGCGAATTTGTTCGGTCGTTCTATACAAACTTTTGTCCAAGATTGTATATCAGGTGTCCCAAAAAAAACTTGCGCTGTTTGATTTAATGTAACATAAAAACTATAAACGCTATTGCTATTGCATGCACTGAAATAAGTTTTATTGTATTCAGCAAGGGCTAACTTCGATTTTGATATATAACATTTGAATGTCCGTGCAACATTTACAGAGCCATCAACGTTTTAAATTGAAAAACATATATATTTGATTATTACCCGAAATTAAAGGGTCTTGTCTAAAAGTACATACGAGTGACCACGAATGACCACGAGTGATTTATGTGTTTAAAAATAATAAAATAAGAATAAAAGCTATTTTAAAGCTTATTCCGATCGGATAAGTCTACGTGTCAGGCTCTATGCTTGAATCAACAGAGGAGATACAATTATTGGAGATTGATTCGGATTGTACCATTGTAAGGGATCCAAAACAGATAACAAATTACAAGTATGTATACTTTGTATATGTTCTCACTTTTTGATTTATGCTTTCTGGAACATTTCCCATAATGAAGAATGGAAATTGGAAAAATATTTTCTCCAGTTGTTGATGCTGTTTTTCGGTCACAGTATATAGGGGTGAACATATATATATATATACTAGTTAATTTGTTGTTGTTGAAAACCTCATGGTTGTTTAAAGCCTTTGATCCATAAGCCCGAGTTGTCATGGTAGAATCCTGTCTTACAGAGATCAAAACCATTCGTTGCTGCCTTGCCCCAGCAAGGCAGGTTAGGCAGCATACTATTCTTGATGTCATTCCAACTGAGATGCCTAGGCTGAATTTTATGAATGCAACAAGAATCTCGATTTCTGAAGATTTTCTGGTTCAATCATTCAAGATGTTAGTTGGGTCACTCAATCTCTTCTTTAACCGTGTGCAATAGTGGTTGCACAGTGTTTCTTCCTTTTTTTGTTTAATTTAATGGCCAATACTTTCCCCTAGTACACGCTTCGATCAAATTATTTATTGGTTTTATTGAACAGTTTTATTGAACAAATGTTTCCACTTAAAGAAAATTTGGTTGACTAAAGGAATTTTTTTAATAACTTCGAAAGGAATTTATCTGACAGGTGGAAACACAACGAAAAACAGGAAACTTAAAGAAAAAAAAATAGAAGTTAAACCGACCAACCTAGATTTTCAAACCAAATCTATCCAATCTAGATTTTCAACCAAATCTACCCAATCTAGATTTTCTTAGGAGGAAACTGGAAACCCACATATTTTGGCCTAAACGCCTCCCTACAGGAGCATTTATTACATTTTACACAGAAGTTGAGGTTGACAGAACATGATGCGTCAATCATGATCAAAGCGAGACTTCGTGGAGAAATCAATAGTGTGAGGAATCGGTACAAGTGCTTAGTGCTATTGTGAGTACCTTTATTAATGTGACGTTTTATGTGTCTAGGTACAACTATGGTAAAAGCAAGGATGCAAAAGCTGATGTGTTAAACGATATAATATTATAATTGTTGAGCTTTTAAGTCAAAAACAACAAGGGACGTATTCTGTCATTGACAGATCACAACCATACAACAGAGAATTCCTTTTGCGCGACGGCAACCAACCTTCGATTGTGGCTTATCTCAACCAAACCTTGAAAGATTTGGAGAGATTTTGCGTCAGCCAAATGAAATGCAGTGTCCCTCTAGCTATCGATACGACCTTCAATATCAGCAAGTTCTATTTCACGCAAACTGCTTACAAGAATGTTTCTCTTGTCTCGAAAGCAACTGGAAAACACCCATGGTTTCCTGGTCCTCTTCTTGTACAACGTAGCAAGATCCAAGAGGAATTTCAATATTTCTGGCAAGCTGTAAAACGACAAACTCCAGCGCTAAAGAACCTTGGCGTATTTGGAACTGACGAGGAGGCTGCTGTTTACAATGGCATTTTGTCAGAATGCGATGGCGAAACCGTGCATCTCCTTGGACTGGAGCATGTGAAGGCCAATGTTGAACGGAAGCTTGAAGAACTCAAGTTTCCCAACGCGTCTAAACGCCGCATTATCTCGGACATATTTGGAGAAGCATTGGCAGAGAAGAATGGATCTTTATATGAATGTGAAACCGAGGAGGAGTTCCTTGATAAAGTCTCGAAGTTCAAAAAAGAGTGGAATGCTATTGAAGTTTCGTCAACCCGTAACAACCCGCCCAAGTTCGTCGCCAATTTTGAGAAGCACAAGGAAGATAAAATACGGCAATGCATGGTAAAGTATGTTTGAGAGAAAGCTGGATTGCTAGATTTTTATGGCCAGAATCCTATCGAGTGGTCTCATTTCATGTCCAAAAAAAGAAATCGACGATATCGTAAAGTCTGAAGGTTTAAGTCATACGATGCACCTCTGGCAACCAGTCTTGGAGCGCTGAAATTCAGAAATATTCGTCTTTACTCTGATGCTGTAAAAGCTTTGTACGGCGAAGGCCCCTATCGTGTTTCGAAAGAATTAGAGGATCATCAATACACGTACGATACTTACTTTCAAAGTGCATATTAATAACATATGTCGTTCGGTTTCACAATCAATACATCAAATTGGAAAAATAAGAAAATGTCTTTCACGAAAGGACACCGAAAGTCTTGTTCATGCTTTTATTTCATCCAAACTTGACTATTGCAACGGCGTGCTCTACGGCCTTCCTTCTTGTGAATTACAGAAGTTGCAAAGGCTACAAAACACTGCTGCCAGATTAGTCGTCAGAGAAAGGAAATCTGCGCATATAACACCGGTACTTTCTAATCTCCACTGGCTTCCTGTGCAACGAGTGACTTTCAAACTCCTTTTGGTGACCTATAAAGCTCTTAATGGCATTGCCCCTTCATACATCACCGATCTACTTCGTCGTCATATCCCTGCCCGTACTTTGCGCTCCAGCAGTCAAAATTTGTTAACTGTGCCTAGAGTGCGAACAGAGACATATGGCGAGAAGTCTTTTTCCTGCGCTGCTCCGAGACTCTGGAACAATCTTCCTGACTCTATTAAGCAAAGTCCAACTATCGATGAGTTTAAGGCAAAGTTGAAAACATATCTTTTTAGGATAGCTTTTACTGAGTAACTGTTTTTAGATTTTTAGATTCTTGTTGTAAAAAGCATTGAGACTCATGTATAATGCGTTTTAAAGAACAATTATATTATTATTATTACGATGAATGGAAGGACATGTCGACAAAGAGGAAGGAGAATAGCGTCCGTCACTTTCTTAACGCGCAACCGAAGAAAATTTCTTCTCCCACAACCGAGAGGAGTTCAGCACAAAAGCAAGATACAGCACCACTGGATGTAAATATCGATATTTTGAATGATCATCACCAACTAAGCGACTATTCTCCAGATATGTCGATTGTTGTTGAAGATTCAGAGGAAGTAACAATTAATAGCAACGTTCCGCGTAAAGTGTTGAGTATCGCAGCAGAAGAGGCGGAATTACCAAAGGAATGTGTCAGACTGGGGACATTGCAACAGATTTTCCACAAAGCGGAGTTTCTTTTGAACGAACCTAATGCTATCAAGGCGGCGGCGTCAGATGATTCGCGAAATCAGAACTGTCAAGACGGTGGTACTCCACTTATCGTTCGTCCAGTGAACAAGAAATCTAATCTATTTACGTGTGAGTGTACTGTTGTACCTTCAAATATGTTGGTATGTGTCCTGATACCGTTGCAGTGGCTGAAACGCAAGATCTATTGTTTGAATATCTTTCCGACTTGCGTGCAAAGTTTACTAGTCAGGAAGGGAAAAAGAAAAATGTAGGAGTAAACATAACAGCAGTCATAGAAACCGGTTTGAAAATCACTGAGAAAGCTGACAAGCTAAATGAAGTAAACAAAAAGGTGCAGAGATGTTTAAAAAAGAGTGGAGCCAAAGAATCATTTTCTAGTACATGCACAACAAACCCAGTACTGAAAAATGTCACACCTACAGCAACAACTACTGGGTTTGGACATGAAATCGGAACTTCACCTCAGCCGTTTTTACGTTATGTGCACGACGAACCCAACGCTAAAGCAAGTCACACCTGCTATTCCGGATGTTTTTCCAACACCAACCGAGTTTGGACATCAATTCGAAGCTGCAGTTCATCAGTCAGTGGGCATGGTCCCAGGGCTGCTCCAACCACATCAAATATTTCAGGAGCATCAGTTAGAGGCGTCATATGGGCATCTGCAAGTGGGGAAGACAAGCGTCACCACCCAACAAAGTCGCAGCATCGCAAGTAATATTCAGCCTGATTTAAATGTCTACAAACCAAATCCAGTCAATTTTCGTCACCCACCATCTTTACAGCAACCCAACCAAAACTTTCAGCGCGAACAGCCTAATTGGCATGCAGGTATGCCTCCTCATCCCTACACTTTGTGCACCTATAGTCATGAAGTGTTATGGTTGTGGTGACGATTTCATTGACAAATACAGGCTCCCTCCTTGTAATATAATCGTAAAACACGTGGACCGAAGAATTAGACGACATGAACAGACTGGGCAATTTTTATACAGTCCCGATTTCTCCAACCTATTATCATCCTTCCTGTGCCCACATGAGGAGAAAGAATCCCTTCTTCCCTGGTATTGTAAATATCGATCGTTATACATGCGAACGCCTGACGGAAGAACAACGACAGTATGTGGCACACCTTTTTAAAATTCAAATTTTGTAAGGTGAACTAACATACTTTAAATAAGGTGTAAAAATAAGGTGTAAATTGTTGCATGAAAGTGTAAAAAGTTCATATTTCATGTTGAGTTTCGTTAAGAAAGTGTATATCTTTTGGTAAATTTGACATTTCAATCGCATGGCAGATACGTACGTGAATGCAAGAAGATGGTAGCGCATGGCTAACTGTTTCATACAGACAATTTTCAGTTCAAGACTTCAGGTTGACACAGGCAATAGTCAAATATATACGGTCTAGCTCTAGTTTAATATTCTGGTTTGTTCTGTTCTGTTCTGTTCTGTTCTGTTCTGTTTTGTTTCGTAATCGATTCTAAACATTCAGTTATTATTATTATTATTATTATTATTATTATTATTATTATTATTATTAATATTATTTGTATCTCACGTATATTAAATGAAATTTTTAGGGCTGTATATTAAAATCTAAGTTAGCTTTTCCTGAATAGAATAAAGTTTATTTGAGTGTGATAGCTTTTATAGTTTTTATCTTACATGAAATTAAACAGCGCGAGTTTTTTTTGGGACACCCGGTATATAAATTTATAATGAAAACCACAGCAATAAGATGGACAAAAAAATTGTTTGCAGAAGGAAGCAGGCGCAAAAATATTGTTTGCAGAGACAACAACACCAAAAAAAATTGTTTGCGTTGACAAAATGTTCATCCTCCACTCCAAAAAAATAATAGTCTGTCCCTACCACAATACCACAGATAAAATGTTATAAGCAATATATATAAATAGAATTGCCTCGTTCTTTCCAAACTACACAGAATTAAAGTATTGAACATGGAAAATATTGACTTTCCATAAGCCACACACAACTCAACAAAAATCTATATAAATTGGCTAATAAAAGCGAAAATAAATTAAATACCCATACTTCTTATGCACTTACGAAATTAGCGTAAATATGTCGTTCGAAAAATAATGACTTATTTGCGTCGCCAAACATATACGCTAAGGATTGAAAGCTATCTTCACTGAGTGAGTTGTAATCTTATTTCTTTAACAATAGTTTGATATTTCTTACCATACATCTTCACAAAAGCATTACTTCAACTTTCATGCTTGATTTTACAATAGATAATTTTTGGAAAACGCGCGCTGATTATACGCCCCAATTGCAATTTATATGATCACAAAATTTGCCCTATTCTCGAGAAACATGATATTATATATACATGAGAAAACACATATAAGGTATGGGTATTTCACCATTACTTTAACTTACAGTTTGAAATAGAATTAGAAAGCAGCGCTCAATTCGAACGTAGCTAAAATAAAATGTCTTCATCAGTCATTGACAAAATTCGGTTACAATCCCACAAAGTAGCCTATTACACACGTTCTTCTTTCACTGCTGTTGTCTTGGTACAAAGGTATCAGAGTTCCTTCTTCTAAGGTATACAAACTTCATTTCCACACTAAGTTAACTTGAAAATATAGCTGTATTCCTGAAACTTGAATTATCCCTTGATAAAGAAATAAAAATCTCAAGATATATTCGTATACGCAAGACAGTACCTATAGCATACACAGATAAGTGGCCCCAAGTTATAGGCGCATGCGCCTTTAAGTGATTAAAATTTGAGTTGCATAAATACTATAATTGGTATAAAAAACTTTACACGATAAACGATAGAAAATTGTCTACGTAATGTACTCATGTTACTGGTATAGTCGAACGAATGGGGACAACGATCGCCCTCGTTCAAGATATTCTTTAAGGATACTCTCACGATGAATCCCCTTACTTCATGCATGGGTCTTTTTCAACTCTGTATCGGAATGGACAACTTGCATGTTAGACTAAAATTTAATCTAAGCGGAGAAAAGGGGATCAAACACCACAGCTGAAAAGAACATACTAAAATTAGTAAAAGTGCAAAATTTGGTTGCGAAATGTTGTAAAGCTTGGAAAATATAGCCTTGCAAAGTTTGCATATTTTCAGTATATTTGTATTACGAGCGGAAATTGTTACCATTTTCGGCTCAAAAATGGTACCAATTTCCGCACGTAATACAAATATACTGAAAATATGCAAACTTTGCAAAGCTATATTTTCCAAGCTTTACAACATTTCGCAACCAAATTTTGCAAGTTTACTAATTTTAATAAGTTCTTAACGGGAATTTACTTTTTTTTGCCTAGATCGGCTAGATAAAAAATTTGTCTAACATGCAAGTTGTCTATTGGAATTACATTGTTTGCTTTACTTTTCATTGACAAATTGTTAACGATAAATTGTAAACCATAACGCGTTTAGGGACCGTTAATCATTTATGGCGCAGGGTGGGACCGAAGAGAAACATTTTGTTGGTAAAGATGTTGCTGATCCATGCAATCATTAAAAAGTCAAAACTTTTAAACCTCAATTGAGAAATAAATACACAGCCCTGGCCAAAACTACAAAAGGTACCATTCAGAGTTTCATAACTGCTTGTACAATTTTCTGCAGTGTAACGCTTCATGTTACCTGCGATGTACTTTCTTTGGAGACATTATTTGCATCTCGGCAAATCAGAAAATGAGTACAAGATAGTGACTCTGATTGATTGATTGATTGATTTACATATTCTATTGACATATGACTGTTGACATTGCTTTTTAGTCTTCAAAATTTTGTTTACCCCAACCCTTTTATCTTCAGTGCCACACCTGCAACAAATAATGACCGGTCCCTTATATGCAGAGAAAAGGGCTGTGTACAAAAGAGTCATTTACCTGATGCTGTTATCATGGGTCTTGTACTCCATAATAGTGTTCATTGGTAAACTTAATACACGTTTTAAGGTATCTCTAAAATAAAATATAAAAATCTTGTGAAATACTTCAATCAGTATATACCTGAAAATGCACATGCGCATAAATGGCGACAAATAATTTGTTCAATTACCTTATTCTAGTAGTGACACCTTGATCACCAGACGTTCGGTTCCATACGGATATAATGTCTTCCTAAGCGAAAATTATAATTTTTTATCAGTTCTGAAGTATAGTTTGGTAGTGATTATTATTAATGATCACTGACTGGTTACAAAGCATAAATAAATCATAAATGTATATAAAATGTAGTTGCCAAATACAGAAACACAGAAAAATATGAGGAACAGAAATTTTCAACATGTATACCAAAGGGTTTCGGTGTCTATTTAAGATAAGCGGATCTTTCAAAACGTGGGTCACATGCATGGCTGACATTAGATACTTTTGACTGACATTAGATACTTTTTCTAAGATAATCAATTAATCATCTTGATCAGCATTGTTGTTCAATGTACAGTTATAACTATCAATTCTGATTGTTTCAAATACACTGTAGCTGTCTTTTTATATGTATGCTGTAAGGAATCCCACACTGAACAAAACAGATTGTATAAAATGTGTACGTTATGGCATCAATATGACAATTACGTTACATGCATGGGTGTAATTGCATGCTTGCCTAACATAACTATATTTAGTGCACAGTGGCACAGAGCTCAACTACCTGGAATCTAATAGATATAACAGCACCACAAATCTCATCACCAACCATAAACTGCTCGCCTAGAATTGCTAATATCTAAAGGAAACGTCAATGAAACAAACTATAGTCACAGTACGAGTATATAGAAACAACAGAAATCATTCATTTCTATATAACCGCATAATACGTGTTACTATACTGCAAAGTCTGGTTTACACTACCGAAGTTTCTGTCATCACAGTGGATTTTTGTTTCGGTAAAGGGTTTGTAAGAAATGTTCGAGGGATCTGAGTCAGTGTTTAACACTAAGTTAGTTGCCTCAAACATTTCTTGCAATCTTTCAAAACTTAGAATTTACATATGCAAAATTCCTTCTGTGATCACCGAAACTTTGATAGTTCAAACCAGACTTAATTGTGCTGTCAATGAGAAGTACCATATAAAATAAAATTGGATCCAACTGCGTGTTAATAAAAAGTATTGGATGAAGATGTTCTGATATCAAAAATTAATATCAAGGTCGAGGTACGTGATATCATGTCGAGCCAAAGCTGTTTTTATTTAATATATACACTGAATTTTTATTAGATGTCTTCGACAAACAGTTATTTACACGAGTACATTTTGTTGCACTAAATTATAGCAACATCATAAGAATAATTTAGTAACCTCATTTTCCTACCAAAATTTTTGACATTTTCATCGGAGCTTTAGCTCAAAAATGTCAAAAAATTTGGGTTTTTTTACAAAAACATTAATAAACATCGTTTTTTCATGTTTGTTTTTCATGTTTTTATTCTTGCATGCAAACTGCCAATTACCATAAAATGACACATTGTACTGCTGATTCAAACGATACGTAACAGTGATGTCTATACTCGTAGTGTTATAATTTATAATATGTAGGATATACTAGTTCTTACCAGATTTTCCCAAAATCTCGAGGCCAAGCCTTTTCTCAACCTGACAATCCATTTCCCTCCACGTTTATTTGCTTCATCCTACAACAAACAATCGACAAACCTCGCTTACAGACTACAACTTAATTATCTATCTATACAGTATAATTGGTTATTTTCGGTATAACCACTAAGTATTTTAAATAAAGTACAAAATACTTTTGGAAAACTCTTAATAATTTCTTTTCAATTTTCGCTGTTAAAACACCCAAAACCAGAGAATTAAATGGCAAATAAATTTTGTGGCAGAAAACCTTTAGTCATATAAATTACTCTGCCACAATACTATAATATCCGCCATTATCGCATCCATTTCAAACTATTGTTCATCGTTCAAAAAACGAGAAATAGACGGTAGACAACTTTTGTTGCAAAAAACTTTATGTCACAATCTCTGCAACGAAGCAATCAAAACATCAATATCCATCACTATCCATTTCAAACCACCTTTCAACAATTTTACTAAAATATTTTGCTTCGTTAATAACTGCATGATAATTATCATAATTATCAATTGCACAGTGTGATTCATGGAAACACTTAGTTAACACTCTATATACATTTACAGTGATGTTATAGATAACCAGTAACACAGGGAAAATGTTAAATTTCCATTAATGGGTTTTTGAAAGGTTCTCAAATTAAAGATTTACCATGTATACTATCAATGTAAAAACTGAACTTTTACCATTTAACAATTACATTACGAGCTCGAGATTTCTGAGGTTATAGAACGATCACCTCATAGAAATCGAGAGCGAGTTATCAACTGTAATTGTTTTAACACAATCAAAGATCAAACATTAAATATTCCACAAAATAATTCAATAATTCAATAAAAAACGCCAGCCTGAAGCAATTTTTAAAAAATCTGCCAGGAAAATTATTTTTTTGCTACTCGCTGTCTATCGACGAATATTGTAGATAGTGAGTAGAGTAGCCAATCAAATTACAGCATTTGCAATAGTATACCAGTATGATTCTACTACAGTAATATTGGTTATGATAGATTTCCATATGGTAAATTGGTAAAAACCATGATGTTTAATATTTACCATTAATTTTATTTTCTTGTGCAAAGGAAAAAATAAAGTACCCATTTATATGGTAAATATTTGGTGGTTTTTACTTCTTTACAATATGGGAAATCTATAATAACCAATAATGGCAAGAGTTCAGTGTTTACATTTAAAAACCCATTAATGGAAAGTTCAATTTTTTTCCTGAGTTAGAACAAATTGGTACCTCCCACATTGGTTTAATCCCATCCTTGAATAGATGATAATCACAATGTCCTGTTAACTCACTAGGGTGAACCAACCAACTGTACAGAGACCAAAATTGTTCAACCTATGCATCAAAAAATTAAAAATAGAAACAATGAATATAGTCAGTTGCACTCCCTCTCTCTTACAGTCTCCGACGTAATTCTCCGTTTTGTAACCGCCGCCAGGGTCACAAGTTCACTACTTTCGGTTTGCATCACATCCGGTAAATATGAAATATGATTCACCACGCAAAACACGCGTTTAAGCGCGCGTTCCAAGGTGTTAAATACGACACAAACAAACGTAGTCACGAAGTGGATTTAGGCGATACTTAAAAATCATATCGTGATTATCGTCTAGAAACTCAAAAAAGCATACGAAACAATATCACGATAGTCAATCATTGATCATAACGATAATTACGGTATATCCTCTCTCACGTTTCTACCTTCAATACGATAATCATGAGTAAAATCGTGCAACTCTATTACGAACTTTATTAAAAAGTCCGGGGCTTCGGCGGTTCGGGAGTACTGCATGTATGACGAGCTTTAAATACGGCTGTCAATGATACAGACTGTCGACAGTTTTAAAACGGGACCTATAAGCCGAAAGTTTAGAAGAATGGATTTCAGAATTTCAAGATGTCAACAATGTTAATTTGAAGACGAAATTTAAAAAGAAACTGAGCAAACGATACTCGATACAAAATTGCTACATATGCCAGCACAACACGTGCGTTAAAAAACGTGTTTCGCGTGCCGTGAGTACTGTATCTCATTTCATATTCGCCGGATGAGACGCGCGCTGAAAGTGGTGACATTGATTGTTACTGGTGACCCTAGATGTCCCATCATCGGGCCTAACAAAAAACATCCACCTGTGCTTCCGGTTTCGCAAACCAAACCTTTTTTCTGCCGACTCAAATGTTTTTTTTTTCGGTTGGGTTGTTTGCTTACATACCGATCCCGGACGTTGCGAAGCAACATCTGTGAGTCTTTGAGGTTACTTGAGTGTGGGGCAGTTAAACAATGGGAAATACCAGCCTGCTTTGCGCGTACTGTTTGCCTGCGAATGGGGCCTTTCAGAACCGGAAATCGGGCTGGAGCACGCGTTCGTTCTTTTGAGTTGGCAAAAGAAGTACTGACGACAAATGGCAAAATTCGCACGGTGCCCGTTTGCAAAAACAACTGCAAACAGCTCTAATTCTTTTGATCTCATCCGTGAGTCGGGCCTCAACGGCCTTTGATTCTTCGTTGCATGCTTTATATTACAACGTGACGCCAAATGCGTCATCCAGCAAGTTTTCTATGACGGGTTTTCGTATAAAAAGTTTTATTTGTTCGTCTGTATAGGCAAATTTATACGCAACTTTGCCAATATTTACTATGACACGTGCACTTGTTTAATAGCCAGTATGTTAGCTTTTGAACAAGTGCACTTCAATCGATCGAGACACTAAGCATGCACTAAAACATGTTAGCATATTACATATATATTATAATTAAGAGGAGAATCTTTTGTATGTTACGTAACACGCGCTCAAAACTAATGAATATACTTTTTCAGTTGGTTACGACAATATTCAAATTTTTGATACATTCCTCAAGCGGCAAACAAACTTAAAAAGTATGTCCAATGCTTTATCTGTATAGATGATACGCCAAAGAGAAAATGATGTCTGAAGTTCAGCAAGTTTTGTTTAAATATGGCGTCAATTTTACAGCGTCAATGATAATTGTATTTCAATTGACAATATTTAGCTATTGTTTTGTGTTTCTCAACCGCTAGGTACATTTAAAAAGGTTGCTAACTGTGTAAACTACAAAATAAAGATAAAACAAAGTAATTTTGAGAGGAACGCCAAAAAGATTATATGTTTTGAACACTTTTCATCGCAAATACGCGATATTGAAAAAATTGCCTTTTAATTTTTGCTGTACAGTAGATCTAAAGGTAACAATACACTAAGTACAGGTAATCATGCGATGTTGCTCGTACAATTAGGGATTAATAGTACGAGTGATGTTTGGAAATTTTGCCAAAATTGGACGAGCCGCCGATTACTTGTTTATTATTAGCATGACAAAATTGGATACTTATCAATGTCAACATAATATTCTCTCGCCAAAGCCCAGTCCTGCCAGACTTTCAACCAAAATTTGGTAGCTACTTTTGTTCGTATTTTCATTTAGTTTTTCTGTTAAAGCAAAATTTGGTGCTTTTGTTCGTATTATCATATAGTTCCTCTGGGACAATTTCATTTCACATTTGTGTTCAAAATACCTTTCCGCCATTTTGTTTGTTTTGGGAAAATCATTAATTGTACTGCAGTACAATTAATGAAATAATTGTACTCCTCTCAACCAATCAGCATCCAGTAATTTTGTCATGCTAATAATAAATGCAGTAACTGTAGAGAATAATAACGGTTATTGTGACTGCTATACTTACAGATGCAAACCGCCCAACAAGTTTTATATTGTCCTCATAATTGAACTGCTGTTTTCCAGGAGGTCGTTTTGAAAACCATAAAGCATAAGGAAATTGCAACTGATGTTCATCTTCTCCGATCACTAATTGCACCTAAAGCAAAGATTCCATCATAATTTTAAAGCTTTTGCAATAATTATACTGTAATAACAAGTACTGACAGAATACAGACAAAAATGAAAGAGTAGTGGACAGATGTCGTGGGAATGAGTGATACTATACAGCAGCTTTATGTCAATTTGTTAACGATTAGAAATGGAATGAACCTAGTACAGTAGTCGACATACCCCTAAATGATGGTGGTAAGATTATTAGATGAGTACATTCATGCAAGATATTACAGCATACCGGTACTTTATTTGCGATTGCACATCATTCCCAGTGTGGCCTGCTCTTCTGATTTGCCAAATACGGTAGCCAACATTATGATGGCATTTTTTGTTACAAGCGCCAACTGGCATTTCTTGTAACTTACACATTAGTGAACAAAAGTATATATATATATATATATATATACAGGATATTGGCACCCACGACCTGATTTTTGCTTTATGGCTGAAAATTTGAGAATTTTAAAATTTTGCCTAATAAAGTATAGATACTACAGTACGTTGACTAAAATTCCAAAATTTTAAGTTCACTTTTCACAAAAATAAACTGTACTATTAGAACGATCGCAAAAAAGTATACGTACGACATTTAAATAGGTAGTACGAATTTTCAAATAGTGACTAGTGTATCCTCTTCATTTTTGAGTGTTAAACTTAAAAGCTCGACATCGGCTACGAAAATCATACTATTCGGTTAAATGTCTTATATGTACTTTGCGATGGTATAGTTTGGATTTGTTAAAGGTGAACTTGAAATGTTTTTTTCCATCAGCATTTTTTTCCATCAACCTACGTTTAATAGGCAAAGTTTTAAATCGTCAAATTTTCATCTATAAATCAGAAACGTCTGTTTCTTGTAACAGAAAATCCATGAAACAAATTTTGTTGCACATTTTCAGGTTTTGGCAGGCCGTCTAAAAAGCGTAATGAATTATCGTTGATACATATAAAAGACATAAAATACCTTCTCCTTCTGTTTCTTTTCTTCATCAACCTGTTCTTCAAAAACTGCTTCATCACTACTGTCACTGTTCTGGGAATCCTCCAGGTTTAACCTAGTATTTATTTAATGTTTCAAGTGAACATCGGATATTTTGAATAAAGGATTTCGATTTTTGTTATTTTTTTTTTTAAATTTATTTTTTCTTTTTTCTTTTTTTCTTCTACACTCGATGTAAGAGTTCTGTAGATGGAAATTCGATTGTGAATATACATTTATTGGACCTAACCAGGAGCACAGAATAAGAAGGTACGGCAGAAGTGTAACTTGAGTCGGTTCCTTTGTTTTACGTCCACGAAGATTTTAACTCGCTCACGCCATCCTGGCTAGTACAACCGGAAGTTTTCATCAGGTTTTGGTAGGTCAAAGTGCCGGTTGTACTAGCCAGGATGGCGTGATTGATGACGAATCGCTTGTAAAAACGCGGACAAATACTTGCTTGAGTTACACTTCTGCTGTACCTTCTTATTCTGTGCCAGGAGCATGCAGGTATGTAAATTAGGGATGAGCCGATTGCTAGAAAGTGCTGATTAGCCGATTCGATTACTCAGTGGCCGACAATACCAAATAATCCGCCAATTACAATGCAGTTGTTTTGATGAACGCAAGCTGTTGCATCAGGTACTTGGATTAAGGAAAGATCCATGCAAGTGGTATCTTCAACTGCTACTCTTAAGGCCTGATTCCACGAGCGCTTTTTCTTAGCGAAATGCGAAAATTTTCGCGCGAAATAATTGTACGCATGCGTGATGAAGACAAATAAGGTTTCGCGAGAAAAAAATTCGCTTCGCCAGTGAGTAGAAGTTCAGTCTACTCACTGCGAAAGCGAAAAGTAGGGAACCAATCAAATCACGGCAATTTATCCAACATCATGTTTTTAAAACAAAATGGCGGACTCGCAAAGGAGCGATGTATTTGTTCTGGAGTCGGAATCACAACTTTTCAACAGTATTATCAGCCAAGAATTAAACGAACGCGATTCAGATGATGAACAGAGTAGTTTGCAAAGCCAGCAAATGATGCAGGGCGACCAAACGATGAATACTTCCGCGTCATCCGAAGCCCAAGGTGTGCCTATAAACAATTTAATTTTTTATATAAGCTTAATAGTTTATGGACGCTGATCCACGCTAGATCAAGCTCACCATATTTACTCCTATTACAAATTTCATATTAGATATTTTACAAAGGTAAAATAGAATTGTGTTGTTGGTAAAATTTCTAACAGGCATAGCTATTGCTATAAAAATATTACAAACTGAAGAGAATTCCCCTATCAAGAAAAGTTATTCAATATAAACAAGAAAGGCACAAACCTTTGTATAGGCATTGTATGATAGCATGTAAAATGTAAACAACGCAAAGATTTATTCTTACAATACAAACGTTGGCGTCGAAAATACTGATAAACAATAATTATTAACTATTGTATTAATGCATGTCTGTTTCTATAGATGTAAATTCAATTGATGTGCTGGAGGTGATTGTAAATGAAGTGCAGGCGCATCCAATATTGTGGAGTAGACAAAATCCAGATTATAAACGGTCAGACAAGAAGAGAATTGTTTGGAGTGCTATTGCTCAAAAAGTAGGGCTGGAAGGTAATGATCTTTCAAAACGTTTGCAATGTATTTCAAAAAGCCTACTCTTGTATTTTACTGCAAAATATGTAACTATTTACCTAAAAAGTTTAAAAGGTTTACTCTGCCATCCAGTGAAGGGGGGGGGGGGGCTAATGTCACCTATTTAAATTTCACCTGGTAATTTAAAGCATATGGGATGTGAGGGTAGGGCTTGCCTGTATGTTTAGGGAAATGTTATCAATGCTATTCTTGTTGTTAAACTAAATGCTGTACTATGCCTACATGATACATTTTATTTATCTACAGTGGAGCAAGTGAAGTTAAAGTGGAAGAATTTATCAGATGGTTTCAAGAAATGCCTAGACAGGAAGAGAGATTTAGAAAAAATGGCAGTGGGTATTCAAAACAACCTACCTGTCGTTTTTACAACCAGTTGCTGTTTCTACGAGATTCTATCAGCAACAGAACTACCCAAAGCAATGTTCAGGTGAGGTCTATTTCACTTGCTATCCCATCCCCCTCTGAAAAAGCTCTACCTGAACCATCAACACATGCCGAGTCAAATCCTGGCAATAAAGCTTCTCAACAAAATCAGCAACATGCAGTACCCCCCACAGCACAACCACCAGCCAAACAAAAGTTCCAATTTCCACAAGCAACTGTTATCCCAAAAAAGAAAAAGAAAGTTGTACTTGATCCAGTTGAAGAATATTTAATAAAATCAATTGAAAAAAATGAGGAAGAAAATAAGCTAGTGCCAGCAAAAAAAGAAGATGCAGATGAGCAATTTTGTCAAAGTATTACCCATACATTACGGCGACTTGGAGAGCAATCAGTGAAGAAAAACCAACTGGCAAAAATAAAAATTCAGCAGTTGCTCTTTGATATTGAGTTTGATGACTGAACACATCACTTATATGATTGTGTTATGTTTCAATAGGTAAAACATTTTGTTCTGCAACAACAAGTCTTAAATATATATACATACAGTAAATATATACATTTTTACGTTTTTGTTTACAGATTAGAACATACAAATAAAACTAATGAAAGTAAACTTACTTTCTTTTTAAAATACATTGTAGTCAGGGTCATTCAGAGGGGGGGGGGGGATTTGCCCTGAGCCTTAGTTTCATGGGGGAGGCAAAAATGAAAAAAAAGAGAACAAATTTGTTGTACAAAATATATTTTTGCTGACAAAACTAAATTTCTCTGAATGGCCTTTATGTATTTGTATTTCATCTATTTACATCTA